TGGGGTATCTTGAATTTCTCATAGGTGGCATTCATGATATCATCAGCGAGAGGAGTGTTCTCCCTAATGGCTTCGACAATTGGTCGGTAAGTCCGATCATAACCGAGCTTATGAAGGTTGCTGAGGGGCCTAGAGCGACGTGATAACACCGAGGATCTTGCTGAGCTCCTATAGTGGTGTGCTCCTTTCCATCACTACCGGGGTTGGGACTTTCCCCAGTCACCTCTATGTATGGAGGGTAGTGCTGGTGAGGATCTGCTTGACAATTCGGCTGGCATGGAGGAGGAGATGCATGCTCGACACGGCTTCTTTGTTCTCCGGCATGGGCAGCATACAGAGAAGGAGGAGGAGCCTTAAGCTAGGCTCCTAATTGAGGGTGAGTTGCTGAAAAGCTGGTTCCTTGATGGTGGTGGAACAATAGAGTGAGTGGGTTGAGGAGTAGTGATTCGATGGAGGAGTTCAGTGGTGAAAGCAGCAAACTGCTGCTAGAAGGCTTGAGTGATCCACTGGGTGGATTCTTCAAGCTGAGCTTGCATGACATAGATTGGATGTGACTCTCCGTGGATGTACTGACCAGGAATGAGCTCAGAATTAGACATGGCTACTCAGAGAAGAAAGAAGGCCCGACGGTGGGCACCAAACTATTGATGTCTGATATTAAATAGTCAAATAAAAGGAGTGATTAAGTTAACGGAGGTCCTCTAACCCTCAGAATATCTAGTTTTGGAGTAAGTTGTTCTTCCTTGTATAAGTAGCAAATCATAAGAGGACGGGGTTGGGTTCCCCGGTTGTTACCCCGATGATCAAGTCAGTGATTTGCTTGAGTGGAGAAGTAAAATAAACTGTAATAGTTCTTAAGCACAATGGATAGATGTCATGATCTTTATCTTATTATTGAAAATAGTATCCATATTTATAGTGGTTGTAGAAAGGTAGAATGGTAACTCCGACTGAGTATGGGATGGAGACCACATTAGCCTTTGCTTTATAGGTGTCGGCCGACAAGTGGAGGAGCTGTCACTTTGGTATTTAATGCGAAGTAATTAGGGGTGTGTAGTGCCGACATGGTCTAATGCTTCATAAAGGCTATTGAGATAGAGGAATGATGGTGCCCATAATGAATTTAATGGCATTTATTGCAAGGTGATTAGTCGCCAATGCACAAGAGGGGGCTTGAGGCTCAAAGCATTTCGTTGCCCTTCTACTTGTCCGATGGTCGAGAAGTACCATCTTTTGAGTTGTATTCGCAAGATGTCGGCCGATTAGTCAGTCGAGTGGAGTTATTAAGCAGTCGAGTTAGTCAGAGTCAACATGTAATGACTTTCGGGTCGTCGACACGTGACGCCTTTTGAGTCATCGACACATAACGCCTTTTTAGCCGTCCTCACAATATGTTATCATGTCAAGTCGACCGAATTGAGCCTTTGATTATCTTAAATTGCTGACTCGATTATGCATAATGTGGGATACTTTTCCGCTATTGGTTGGAGATTATTTTTCATCACTAAAATAGCTATAACATGAAGGAATAGAGCATTAAGGCCCTATAAACATAGCAAAATTCTGCTAAAAATTTGAAATTAATTTGAAATTTTGAAAATTAAGAATAAAAATAAATTTTATGTAATAAATTGTGTATTGATGTATCTACAATGATTTCATGGCGTAAAACCTTCTATTTCTATGAATAAAAAAATAGCAAAAGCTACAATTAATTAATGATATACATATAATTTAATTTTAGGAATAACATAATTCAAGTCATGATGGGTCGTTGACATTATCTATGTACCTGATAATTAAAATTTTATTTTGATCTTTTTTTCTTATGGAGCATTGAATCATACATATGTAGAGATTGATGCACAGAGTCAAGGGCCCCTTACTGTATAAGAGTATTATAAGGAGATCTATTTAGTTTATAGACTTTCTAAGAAGGGAAGGACCAGGTAGTTGGGAGTAGGAGCTCAGAGGCTATCCACACCATTTCAGCTCTCGACGTTGATGCCTCCTTCTAGTATGCCCTCAGTGATAGCACTATACATGTCACAAGAGGATTGCACTCAGCAGGTGATGTAACTTTTTTCGTTAATAATGAGATATTTGGATGGTCAAATTTTTGAGTAGGTGTGGGAGGTCATGATAGATGAGTGCATGAGATGGTCCTATCTACTGCATCGTACGGGATGGTTTCCATGCATATCATGAAATATTGTAAATGAAAGATTCTACTTGCACTAGTGGAAAAATCGGTATCCTTGACGGGCTTTCCCGTCAGGGATGTCAAATTTCCCGTCAGGGATACGTATCCTTGACGGCGTCCCTTCAAGGATACGTCGTCAGGAAAAGTCCGTCAGGATGACATGTGTATGGTTTGTTTGTCAAAATTGATTGGATGAGATATACAGGGAATTGATGATATGTACAGGGAATTGATGATATGTACAGGGAATTGATTTAGTAATCACCAGATTTTTTTTTCTGCTAATGCATATTGCTGACGGGAGCCCCGTCAGTGATAAGTATCGCTGACGGGATTCCCGTCAGCGATACACATAACATCGCTGACGGGTGCCCGTCAGCGATACCTATCGCTGACGGGTAATCGTCAACATTGTTATGTGCATCGCTGACGGGAATCCCGTCAGCGATACTTATCACTGACGGGGCTCCCGTCAGCAATATGCATTAGCAGAAAAAAAAATCTGGTGATTTTGACATATCATCAATTCCCTGTACATATCATCAATTCCTTGTATATCTCATCCAATCAATTTTGACAAACAAACCATACACATGTCATAAGTTCTAAATCCATACACATCAAACCATACACATATCACAAGTTCTAAATCCATACACATCAAATCAAACAAACCATCCAAATTCGAAATATGTACATAATATCGTCAGTAAACCATACACATCAAACCATACACAAACACGATAACTTCCAAATCCACAACAATTTTCACAACAAACCATACACATGTCATAAGTTCTAAATCCACATCAAACCATACACGCATAATCTCAACTATAAAGATGTCCACAATATTAATCAGACACGAGTTTAGGATATAACTCACTAAGATAGGTCATCCGCCCTATCCATGTCATCGTCCGCGTTGCTACTGGCGGATCCATCCCTACGACTCGTGCTCCCAGTAGCATCATCTCCACCCTAACAAAAAAATAATTTAAATTTAGAATCACATAATATTGTGTGTAATCATATTTTACATATATAATAAGTATACCTGTCTGCTACTCTCTCCACTACCAGTAAATGCCTTTTGAGTGGCCAAGAAATTCATGATCTGGCCTTGCACCCGAGTAGGAACCCGCCTTCTACAAGATTTCATTATTTGCCTAGAAACCATCGCAAAAGTAGCAGTAGGCTAGATCACTCGCATAAGCTCCTCTTGAATATCCTCCCACATCTCCTCGGAAATCTGACCATCTAACATACTCATCACAGAGGAAACAAGCTGCATCGCCTGCTGAGTGCAATCCTCCTGCGGCATGTAAGAGGGCCCCGAGGGCATAGTCGATCCCTCTGAGCTCCAACTCCCATCCACCTGGTCCTCCCTTTTTTAGGAAGTCCACAAACTAGATGGCTCACATTATAATTCTGCTCTCTAGTCAGGGGCTCTTGGCTCTGTGTAACAACCTCAGAATACGTGTTTTCCAGAGCTTCCTAGAAGTCCAAAAAATAAATTTAAGAATTAGCCTTTCAAAAATAAAAGATATTTACCTGAACAAGTAAAATAAAAGTACATGTGAAGGGTGTTTTGTGCAACATAAAAGTACATGTGAAGAAGGGTGTTAAGTGCTAATAAATAGTTGTTTCTTATGCATTGTTATATCTTATGCATTGTTATATCCTAACAAGCAAGCCCCTCATATTTATAGCTATCTGAAAGTAAATATGCAATACTCTCTTAAGAGTCTGATAAGCGCATTAAAAGCACATTGTGTTTTTTTTTGGTATATCATCTAATAATTATATACCAATTCGATAATTTAGCCATTAAATTTAGTTGGGAGCAGTTTTTTTTCATAATAACGAGGTATTAATACCGAATCTTTGCTAATAGTCATTGTCATCAAAAGATCAAGCATGAAATCATTAAAACATGCAAAAAGAGATGACAAATGTGATGAAAGAATAAAAAGGCTACGGTGGAGAATGCACACACACTTACATGATTTTAGAATGCAAACTGTTATTTGAATACATGATTTTAGAATGCACACACACTTACATACTTATACACATGTATGCATATGTGTGTGTGTGTTGTGTGTGTGTGATGTGTGCGTATGTATGCATATGTGTGTCAGTGTGTTTAATTCTTATAATAAACAGAGATTTCATATAGATGCATACATACACATCTACATGCATTCAAGAGTTGAAGCTATTATCTCTAATAAATAATTATATAGAACATATAATGATTACATGACTGCTACTTTTTTGGCCTATCATACAGTTTTAAGACTTTGCAAAAGGGACATGACTTTGCTCTTCAACTTGAGAAAATGCTTGACATTATCTAAACTTAGATTTATACAAATCAATATCTTATAGCAGTTTCTACTTCATCCTCTAGTGCAAAAATGAAAATAAACAGCTTTTTATATCCTAACAAGCAAGCCCCTCATACGAATGGGTCATAGTAACTCGGCTAATAAGATGACCAAAAGAAGAGTACAAACAATAGAAACACTACATGATAACAGGCTAATAAGAGCTAAGATAATTAGTTAACCTGCATTTTCTTGGCCAATTCTAGCTTTTGTTTCTTAGCCTCATCGTCATCGTACCCCTTCTTAAATTGAACCACCGTTCTCCTGTGCAGTTCTGGTAGTGGGATAAAGGGAGCGTTCTGAGATTTAAAATATACTTATTAGTTTTATTTATTAAATATTCTAAGAAGCAGAGAGAATATACAATGATTATTAAAAGACTTTATACCGTTGTCCTATAAAATTGATCCTCAATCTGGGCAAATGAAGTAGTCCCCGTATGATGATCATAATCTTTTTTCCATCGATTAAGTTTATTTCTCCTACATTTTTCCTTCAACATGAACAAAGAGAATTTTAGTGCATGGTATAATATACAATGGAATATATCACTAGTTTCAGATAAATAACTTGATGATAATTAACTACTATACATATTTACCTGGTGCTCCTCTTGGCCCCACAATATTATAAGTGCAGCTAAGTGCTCAGGCTCAACCCTCTTATCTCGCTTGTATATCCTCTCCCAGTTGTGAGTGAAACAATCAAAGCATTTCTTCTTTATCTCATGTCTCCACTCCCGAAGAGAATGCTTGAACTTTCCCATGTATCCAAATAAAAATTCCCACCCTACGGGATTGTCTTCGATGTTGAAATATCTCTAAAAAATAAAATATAGTTAAGCATGGACAATTGACAGAATTGAAAAATAATTTTGCTAAATATAAGAATTTACCCAACAATCTCGATATATACTCTCCAGGACATGAAATGGCTGCTCCCAGGCCTCGTAATAGGGATTCACATTATCACTCCTCCGTATCAAACATCCAAGGTATGAGCTGAAGTTATTAGCCCACTGTCTGGTTGGAATCCCATTATGTCCCCATCTCACAATTGCTCGAAAACCATCCGGTGGTAACTTTTTTTTAAAGTCACTTCCTTGGCGTCCTTTCTTCTGGTAAAGTTTTTCTCCTACAAAAAAGAAATAATAGATATATCAACACTTTTATTTAATCAACACTTTTATTTAAGCTCTTAGAATTTACTAAAAAAGGAAGAAGAAAAATTATAAGGAAAAGAGAAACCTGAGAATATTATGTTTATTAGATATGGATACAATTATGGAAACATTCAAATTTCAACATTCTGGAATTGATTATGTTTTTTTATTAATAGACTCAGAATTGATCAAGTTTTTAATCAAACTCACCAAATCTTTGTCTGATTTCATTTTTTGCATCAGACAAAATCTCATCAATCTGTGGAGCCCATTCATCTAATCTTTTTTTCGCAAGCATGTATTTTTCGTTCTGCTTGAGTCTGTACCCCTCTGCACATGCTGGTAAGGGCCCGCACTCAATCCCAGGAATGTATGCTCGAAGTATAACTGGAGGATCTGCATATAATGGTATGTGAGTCGGCTCTTCCTCACCCTCACCTATAAAAATAAAAGAAATAAATTATCATTGTGCATAAATCATGAATAAAAATACGTTCGTTAAACCAAGTTATACCTGACATCTCTCCTGAACTCTGAGGCTCTTCCTCAGTGGATTGGTCTTGACTGGGGTTAGCTTCGAATAACCTCCTGTTAATATTTTTAGACATCTGCAAGTTGAATAAACATACAAATTAATATAACATAGATGCAAATTAGCTTGGCGAAAATAAAAACAATATGTATTGTTGCGTTACTAAATTTTTCATTTCACATCAAGTTTGTAGGCATTTGCAAGCTGAATATACAAAATAAGATATTACATATTTATATCGTCCAAAAGGTAATTGAGATACATTGTAGTGATATTAAAGTTTTTATTATACAATTTGCAAACTAAAAAAAGTTACATAAAGACCCGATTACAAATAATTGCTGTTTAGCTCCTATTAATGTCTGTGATAATATTTGGAATGTCTGTCCGAGTTGTTGGAGCATCCGTTTCAAACACTACGTTTTGAGGGTACGAGAATTCATCGATCGCTGTATTTGGCTCATTGAAGTTGTTTATATAGCTCTCGTCATCATCTTCATTAGTAGAAGGTTGAATATAAGCCCTAGAATCCTTGTACAAGACAACCCACTCGTCTTTAACTGTAGGATCTTTCACATAGAAACATTGTCCCACCTGAGATGCAAACATGAATTTTTCATCACTATCAATTTCTTTATCGAGATTGACAATTGTAAATCCAAAGGGATCCTTTTGAGTCTTTGTAAAACACCAACGAATCATGAACATCATGTATTTATGTTCATTTGGACCACCATAGCCGTAGAATATCTCCACCACATCTTCCAACCTTCCATAATATGTCATATTATTTTCAACTGGATTCTGATCTCTTCTGTTTGAGAAACATTCCCGTGAGAAGGTAGCCATGACACCACTATTCTGGGTGACCTTCGTATCACCAACCTCCATCGTGTGAAATTTATAACCGTAAACACGATACCCACCATATTGAATTACAGCATAGTAAGGTCGCTTTGCGTGAACCTTCACTTCTTCTGATATTTGATTATTAAGGACAAGTTGTTCCTGGATCTAAATATATACAAAAATAAGCAAACTATTAAATCAAGACATTTCTAAGTTTTTTATCAATGAAATACAAATATCGCTAAATTTAACAATACTTACTTCACTATTCAACCAAGCAGGGAATTCCTTCATATGCCTTTCTTTAATGCCATGTACAGTTGTACTACCGGTAACTTCATTCTTAAGTTTTTCCTGATGTTGCCTATTAATGTGCATAAATTTAATTATTATTGTCAAAATAAAAATTTTGTCAAAATAGAAATTAAAGAGTAAATGGTATTAAAAATTCTTTTTAGATATTTTACCTCCGGTACTCCGAGAAGATTTCAAGATTATTTACAACATATGCATGCGCTTGATCTAACAATATGTTAGAATAATTTTTTGTTCAGCCCGCGAGGATAGAGAACTGTGTACTCCTTATTATCAACGGGTGCTTGAAGTTCAGTTTGTTCCCCTCTCATATAACGAGAGGCAAATAAGAGACACTCGCTTCTCACGTAACTTTCAGCTATTGAACCTTCTGGGCGAGCTCTGTTACGCAATTGACGCTTCATTGAACCCAAATATCTAAAAAAGGAATATTAATCAGATATAGATGTAAAGAAATTTACATTTAATAGATATAAATATTGATAGGTAACGATTAAATTTTTCTAAATACTAACCTCTCTATTGGATACATCCAACGATAATGGACTGGTCCTGCTATTGCAGCCTCCTCCGCGAGATGATGTGTAAGATGAACCATTATTGTGAAAAAAGATGGAGGAAAGAGCATCTCCATTTCACACATTGTTTCAGAAATATTTTCTCCAAGTTTCTCAAAGTCACGGGCGTCTATAACTTTAGAACAAAGCTTTCTGAAAAATCCACAAAAATCAATAATAACCTTCACTGTTTTTTTATTCTGCATAGTACTGCGTAGTGCCACAGGTAGCAATTGATGAAGAAGCACGTGATAATCATGAGTTTTAAGCCCTAATATTTTCCTTTCTTGCACCTGGACATAGTTCGATATGTTTGCGGAGTAACCCTCTGGTAACTTTATTGATTTGCCATCAGTTCCATTTCTTCAAGGCATCCTTCCCCATGAAACGTCCAATATTTGTACTCCTCATGAAATCCGGATATTAAGTGTTTTTGTAAATCACTTTTATCCACCAACGCCCTATTTTTACACCAACAGCAGGGACAATACACGACATCACTATTTAACTTTCGTGGGTCTGCCAACGCGTATTGTATGAATTGATTTATTCCATCTTTATATCGACTATCCCTCCATCTATCAATACGAGGAATATCGATCCATGATTTGTCGGGAACTATCCTCATCTGTATGATATTAAGCATAATTAGGTAATGTGAATTTTTATTAGTAACGCATCAAATTAACGGTTGCGTGATATTAACTTTCTTCACGACATCAAGGAAATTCAAATTATAATAATCTCGGAGGAAAAATTACCAGAACATAAATTATGTGGGAGTAAAATCTAACGCTCATATTTTCAATAAGAGACTTTAACGGCTGTCATAGGAATTTAACGGCTGACATAGGAAATGGACCTATCCCATTAGGAATATAGTAGTGTCTACAACTACCTTCATCATCTTTATGCATTTTTATTTCTTAAAAATTTCGGCAGCACCTACCCGCTGTTCTCCGAGTACACTGTGCGGATGTTATAATGCGTATCAATCATCGATAATAGATCGATTATAGATCGAAACGCAAAACAACATACGCTTATTGTACACGGAGAACAATGCGGGACGTGTTATCAAAATTTTATGGGAATAAAAATGCGTAAAGTTTACAAAGATAGACGATACACTACTGTATTCCTAACCTGTACGAGAAGAGGAATCCTCCCCGGACAGATCTAATAATTATTGCATGTAGAGCATACTCCTAACATAAATCACGTAATTCTCTTTAGATGTAAAAAGTATTTTCACATTCAACTAGAATTGCATGAGTTTATAGCAGAAGAGACTCACATCCAACAATATTAGACGGGAAACTAGGGGTAACGATTTCTGATTCATAAAATACTCCTAACATAAATCACGTAATTCTCTTTAGATGTAAAAAGTATTTTCACATTCAACTAGAATTGCATGAGTTTATAGCAGAAGAGACTCACATCCAACAATATTAGACGGGAAACTAGGGGTAACGATTTCTAATTCATAAAATCATGATATATAACACAATACAAACTCGATAAATCTAACTAATTAAAATTTTCAGTTAAGATAAAGGCTAAATATCAGTAAATCCAATTAACTTTAGGACTATTATCAGATAACCCCCCTTAATTTTCAAAATATCAGAAAACCCCCATTATTTTGATCTTCATATTAGGAAAGATAATTAAACTTCTTCATATTAGGAAAGATAATTAAACTTAGCCATCCACATTAAAGCCCATCAAAATCCAATTTTGAACTGAAGAATCAAAAAAGGACAAGAAATTACCGCTTGGATCTCTTGCACTGCAATCCAAGAAAACGTAAGACCCGCTTGGATCTCCTGCAATGCAATTGCAAGAAATCAAATATCAGATCAGAAACAACAACAAAACTTAAAATTACAACAAAATAATTTAAAAAAACCACTGACAGAGAGGTTTCTGCGCCCTATTATCACATGAATATCAAAAACTTTGGAAGATTAGGACCATTACTAAAATTGCTACTATAGAGTTATTTTATCTATTGCTTTATCATTTGATTTGCCTCTTTATCAACTAGATGTGAAAAATACAATTTTACATGGAGAATTAAAGGTAGAAGCATTCATGGAGCAGTCGAAAGGTTTTTGTGAACTAACTTAAAAAGATATGTATGCAGGTATCAGTGTGAATTGCGTGAGTTTATATCAGAAGAGACTCACATCCAACAATATTAGACGGGAAACTAGGGGTAACGATTTCTGATTCATAAAATCATGATATATAACACAATACAAACTCGATATATCTAACTAATTAAAATTTTCAGTTAAGATAAAGGCTAAATATCAGTAAATCCCATTAACTTTAGGACTATTATCAGATAACCCCCCTTAATTTTCAAAATATCAGAAAACCCCCATTATTTTGATCTTCATATTAGGAAAGATAATTAAACTTCTTCATATTAGGAAAGATAATTAAACTTAGCCATCCACATTAAAGCCCATCAAAATCCAATTTTGAACTGAAGAATCAAAAAAGGACAAGAAATTACCGCTTGGAT